ACAACTTTGTAGGTGACAACAGTGTAGGAACCAGCTGTAGACATGGGGGGCCAGTGATATGCAAATGGAACATGGGTAATTTTATATTAAAAATTGCATAGGCACCAAAGGTTTGTAGTAGTTTGATGCCTCCTTGAACAATGAACTAACGATATTGTACTGTATTTCTTTGGTGTTGCATACATGCTAAAGAGGGATAGTATTTGCTGTGTAGAGTTCTCCACCTTCATTCCAGGTGTTCATTAAGGACAGAAACTATGCAGCCAAATGTAGACTGATCTCTGATTTTATATATATATACTGTATATATAAAAAACAAAAGCACAGCTTTAAAATAACATGTAATATATAAATAAAACAAGCTACAATTCTACAATTAGTCTATCAGGCTATGACGTACTGTACCTATTCTGAAAATTAAACCTTGATATAACATATCTTTCCCCCATATATAACTGTTGACTTCCACGCGGGGGCCTTGATGTCACCACGCGTGTGCACAATTACATCATCGTGCATGCGCGGTGATGGACGCCAGCAGAGAGAGGAGACATTCACCCGGCAGGATGAGGTATGCCGCCGGGTCCCCTCCATTCTCCAGCAACTGTCGGGCTTTTGGTCAATGACCGAGTGCCCGACTTTTCAGAGTGGGTGACACCAAAATGACTGTCAGTCATTTTGGTGTCACCCGGGTGTGGGCTGCACCCCCTAGTGACACCACTGCTTCCACTCTATAATATGTGTGTTAAGAGGATTTGACCAGATGTGTCTAGATAAACTGGTGAAAAGTTTTCTCATTTCTCTGCATTGCAGCCTACCAATCACTAGAATGGCTTTCCATGACACTGTCCACTGAATAAACCTTCCCTAAACTCAATCTAAAGTCTGATTAGTGACTGGTAAAAGTACCTAATCTAATAATATTCACCTCTAATCACCAACAACATTTCACTTCTTTACTAGTACAATTTATAGGCAACAAAACACTATTTGGCTTTATCATACCATTCACCATACAAAAGCTTATCTTACAAAATCAACAGCAAATATCCCCTATGGCAACTGATGACCAAAGATATTTTAATGTTCATGAAAGATCATTTTTGACCAATGAAAAGTTATGAAAAATGCCTCTGTAGGGCAAATGGATAAAATATCTGTACAACTGAAGTACAAATCAATTCAATGGAGCATTTGTACAGGGATAAACAAATAACATTACTACATTGTAAGAGAGACAATATTTTAAGATATTGTGGACATCTAACTGTAAGCTGCCCTCTGTAGAGTTCATTGTTGGGAAGTCCACCGCTACCTTTTAGGCTGCAATGTATGCAGTGACCCGTAGTGGACTGGAATGGCAAATCAGTCCAGGTATATCAAGCAGCAGTCTACATTTTTTGTTTATGATCAAATTTTGCATGGCCATATGGTTCAATTATGTTTGTATCTTGGCACCATATCTATTTTGGAGCAACTGTTTGGGCCAAGCATAGAATGAGTGCAGGTTGTAGTTAGTTAAGCATTTTGAAAGGATCTTCCCCTACAGGCATAAAACCTTTACTTCCTAAACAGAACTCGTCTCACATGCCAGTGATTAATTTAGGCAAAAACAGTTCTTAACAGAGCTCTCCTTTTAGGCTTTACTAGTTTGGTTAGTGATGATGTATAAAGTGCAAGAAAAAACATATTGGCGAGGTTACATGTGCTGGTGTCTTATTTTTACTGGGATTATGAAGATGAAAAACATACATATAAACAACATACACCTTTTCCTTTCTTGAGATTGTTTGATGAATGTTTGGTCCTCATTGTATCCCTGAATGTTAGAATGTTTAATCAGGAATGTTTAAGTATAGTTCATCAAGGAATGTTTGATCATTTAGTATTACGCATAGGTAACCCATAGTCATTTTATTCAAAATATCGATGAAGACATTTGCCGGTTTTGTTCCTACTAGGTTGGCACAGCTGGAACAATGTGCTGTGAACAGTCAATGCTGATAAAAGCTAAAGCGATGTCTCTGCTTGTGGGACTGTTGTTTACGTAAAGTCTCACAATGATCAAATCAAGATAATCATTGATTTGCCCATTTCTGATATGCCTAAGTATATTTTTATGTAGCTGTATCTGTTCTGTGTGGAATTACACACGTATTGGAAAGCAGGCAATCAGTAATATATATGGTTTGATTTCCTACAGAATCCCTGGCTTTGGACTTGCTCATTGTCTATGATAAAGCAGAGCAGCAAGGTCTGAGTGCTATGGTGGTCCCTATAAACCAGTAGCAGGAAAATGAGTTTGCTCTTATTGGCCTACAAAGATCAGAGAGGTTGGAGGATTAATTTTGCTACAAGTGGCCCTCAGGGGTAAAGTTTTTTAAAACCCATTTCTCAATATGGGATGATATTGTTTTTTTAGTAGCAGCATTTTATTTGTGTGCAAGGGATATTTAAAGGTCAACTACACCCAAATCATGTTTCAAAGACTTTTAGAGATTTCATTGTACTAGTATCCCTACCCTCTCCCATACTTCCATAATGGAAATATCATCCTCTTGGAGATATTTCCCCATTATTTGTTTATTCCACATGATGGGCAGCTGGGACACCATCGTTTGTGTTTATTATATCTAGAGCAGTTTTAAGAAGTGGACATTTCCCCGTGTAGATAAGGTGCTAGGGAGGAAGTTATCAAACTGGAGCAGTCAGAATCTGGAGCAGCTGCCCATGACAACCAATCACCATCTCTCTTCAGTTTGCTCAGTTGAGATTTGGAAATGAGAGATAGAAGCTGATTGGTTGCTCCAGTTTTGATAAATTCCCCCCACAGTGGGCAGTGCTCCATGGTTTGAGCTCTGATGATAATCACATAAGGGTTGATCTATTAAAGGCAAATAGACTATTCACTATGCAAGGGAAATTTCCCTTAACTTTGTGAATGAAGCGAGGCTCTGCTGATTTTCATCATTCAAACATGTGCAAGAAAAAATACTGCTTTTTTTTTATTTTTCTTGCTTCAGATTGGATAGTCTTTGCAAAATGATTTTTCACCACATTCACTAAGCTAAGTGCAAATTCCCTTGCAAAGTGAACTGCCCATTTGCCTTTAGTAAACCAAACCCATAGAGTAAAGGAAAAGGTGACAGAGAAATTATAATTAGATTGAATCTCACTCTATTGTTTAAAAGTAGCAGTGTGATTTTATAAACGATACCCCTGGACAGATATTATACGTGGACCCGTTTTCATTGAAAAATGTATGTGTGATGACGAATTTGGCCCAAATGTATGTAAAGTGTTGAGCAGTTGACTGTCAAAGATTACAGGCTATCGCAGAACTATCACAATTCCCTTGCTGGAGATGTAGCTTTCCCCTGGATAGGTGCCTGAACTAGTTGCACCATCATAAATACTGTGTATACTGTGTATGCAAATCCATCCAGACAACTAGGTAGCTTAATCGCATTGGAGTTTGACTCTCATGTGTTGAATGCAAATGAGGGAGCATTGCTGTTACATGAGAGATGTTTTCGCTGCACCGCTTCATCATATGATCTCCAAAGGCTATCCAAACCATAAGTAACAAGAACGTGGAAACAGATCTGCATAGCCACTGTCCTACGTATACACTGAGTGGCCAGATTATTATGACCACCCCATCAGTACTTCGTTGGGCCACGAGATGACTTAGTTGGGCCGCCTGCACTGTTGCCCTTCTGTTGTCTTGTATCAGTCTTGCCACTCTCCGTTCTGCCCTAACATTGACTAGTAGCTGACGGCCACAATTCGCACTTTCAGACCCAGATTTTTGGCTGACAGTCCAGTCTTTAAACACTTTAACAATGAGCCCCTCTTGAACATTTAACGAATTCTGCTGTTTTGCTGATACTTGTGCCATGGCTCGCGCCAACAATCATCCCATGTTCACAGGCTGTTAAATCGCGTTGTTTACCTGTATCTTCAGAAACAAATCACTTCTACTGTCGTGGTAAACAACCTGCTTCCCTATTTATAATGGTCTGGCCCTCTAGCAACTTCAGCGCAAAGGTATAGCTAATTATAGCTAATTTGCCTACAAACATCAGGTGGTCATAATAATCTGGCTACTCGGTGTATATTTGTTAACATTTCTTCTGAAACTTTCTTAACCATACAGATCTAAGAGGTAATTAGACATCACAGCAAAGGTGCTTTTAACATACTCCAGGGCACTACATCTTACGAAAGGCCTTTGCCTCCTGGTTGTTACCTTTATCCTTCTAATCGTTCTCCCAGAATGAGGGCTTATTACTCATTATGATCCTCCATTGTCCCTGCTGTAAGTTCTATTAGGTAATTGCAGTAGAGTTGCTGGTGCAGCTGACAAGGAAAGGTCTAACACTATTTTTTCTATAATGAGCACCGGAATAGGAGGATAAGCGCTTGTCCAATCAGAAGCCAGCTGTCATTTCTAAGTTCATCAGAACAAGCACAGTGGATAGCCAACCAAAACATGGAAAATGAATATAGTAAGTAGAGATTTCTGTTCATTATTTCAAACCCGGTCTTGCAATGACGTGGATATACAACAGCCCCCACGCTGAGACTGCAAGCTTCATCCAACCTAGTTTTCATTGGTCCCATAAAGGGCAACTAATGGTAACCTTATTTTAACTGCACAGTAAAAGCATACCATAAATATAGTTTTCTACTGCATTCCCTTGCAAATACGATGGGTTAATGAAGAATGACAAAGTAACAATGACGAAGTTCATCTCTGCTAATAATAGCCATGGCTATAGTAACTGCCTTTCCACATTATTGTTCACATGGTTACACTTTACAGACAGTACAAGCTGGATGATGCACACATCATGTCAATGTAATACACGACACACTCAGCTTCAACAGAGTCAATACTGGGAGCAAAACACAGATAATTCTGCCAGACAGAGTAAAACAGACAACATCTATGCATTTATATTCCACATAAGGTTGGTGAAAAAAGTGCGTGATGTCTGAATTTTTTTAAAGAGCTCATTTTCTGGCATGCATGAAAATATTGATAGCCATTTAGACCCAATACTGACAGACAACTGCAAGTGTTAGGAAAACTAATACCGGCTGTAAGAACACGTGAGAAGTAGTGTGGAATGTAGAAGTGATAGTGTCAAAGTGCCTACGAGAAGGATCCAGGCCATGACACTATTGTAAGTACCACCCTTCCTTTTAATTCCTTAAGCATCCTTACTAAGTGGGTATAGGTCACTCCAGACGTGCATCTTCCATTTACAGCCAGAAGCATATCCCCGCACCTGGTGGCAAAGAACAGGGTTACAGGACATGGTATAAAGGTAATACTTTAGAATTTCACATAGACGATACAAGTTCAAATCTTTGATTTTACCTGAAAATCATGAGGTTGTTTGCTTAAGATTTTCAGGTGAGTCTCAACAACATGACTTTGTTATACCATTCCTGATATTTTGTACAACAAAGAAGCTCAGAAACCAGATCCTCTGTGTGCAATCTACACCTTTAGGCCTCATTTACACAGCTAAGAGGCGGCCCCGTACGGCGTGCACGGCCGTATCAGGCCATCCCTGTGAAGGATAGGTGCTGCGTGATTGTACGCAGCAGCCTGTTCTTCTCTATGGTAGTACGCCGCCCTACGCTCACCCGAGCTGCACATCCGTGCGGGTGTCCGAACTCGTACGCAGATAGGATGGATCCTGTCTGCGTTCGAGCAGTTTGAGTGAGCGTACGGTTGCGTACAGCCGCTTACAAAAAAAGTGTCCGTATCTCCTGATAATAAAAATCAGCAAGCCCAGTGGTGATTGGCACAACTGGAAGCAACCTAGGCAGAAATCGCCCATCTATTACCAACACAAGTCCAAAGGACAAGTAGCTTATTTCATTCCAGTATATTGTGGACGGCCATGCAAATTATTATGCCTTTGTGGCTTATGATAGATCACAGAGATACAGCCAAATGATTCTGTTATTTTCACCCCCCCTTGTACATATGGCCCTTTTTGGTATGTTCCCCCTGATCAGTGAAAGGTATGGAATACATGACTCTATTAAGTAAGGCTTGGAGGGGGACCCAACTAGTCAGGTAATGGTGAGGTACTACTATTTACTGAAATTGGATTGTTTCTCCACAGAGTTTTCTACTGGAAATGTCGGCATGGAATATATCATTGTGAAGTAATATAATTTAGGTTCCTGTGCTTTGACTGGAAAGAGATAACCTGACTAAACTTTATTTTAACATAGTTCTGTTTTATAATTCTGCCTTTTTCGCTTATTTCCTTCAGACTGCTATGTTGTGCCTTGGTACTTTGTAGCGGATTTGAGTAAAAGAAGCCAAACCAACGCTAAAATCTGTATGAGGTTTTAAGTGCATTTGTTTCTGGTTTGCATTAATGCAAACTATTTACACATGTGAATTAATTGTATTAAACAACTACATTAATTAATAACATGTTATATATGAAATGTTAAGAAACAGATACCCTTCAAGCATGATTTTGGGTATTCTTTGTACAGAGATGAAGAAACCGTGTGCTCTAATGTGACTGTAACTAATACCACTTACAAAGACATGTAAAGAAGGAACCAACATGAATTACCTGATTCTTCCATCGTTGTAAGCGGGGGTGCCCTCCAGTATGGATTTAATAAAGAATGGTTTGTTCCAGTTGCAATCCTCAGAACCTCCTACAATGCTAAAGCCCAGACTCCCTGCTGTATTCCTCCTCAGCACAATTTCTCTGCAGCTGTATAAATACCTAAACATGGAGAAATGGAAGTGTTTATTCATCTTTTAAATCACACAAATCTTTCTTTATTGTGTTACTGTTTTCATTGGACCAAAGTATATATTCTTCTACATGTTTTATTCCTAATCCCTACAATAACATCTTGAGTTGTCATGCAGAATATAAAGGCACTGTCATTACAGAATATGAGGGGCATCGCATCTTGTTGTCATCACGGTTGTAGTTCATAAATGGGGTTAATAAATGAGGTTAATAGTTTACAAACAAAAGAATATGAGTTAATAAAATGTACTTTGAAAAAATGACAAGAAAAATCTGCTTTTCTGATTTGATTAAAAGGTACTAGTTTCCTGGCTTTAATGCATCTGCTCAGGCAATATATCACAAACAATATTCAGTGGCAAATGAAAAAACATATTAAGGCTCATGTACATGGCGTAATGAAATACTCCCATCTACACCAGATCTTTCTGCCAGAAGCTGAATGTGAGGGGAAATCTTCCCCGATGTGCATATAGATAGCAATGGAAACATGATAGAGGTCCTAACCAGTTATGAACTTTGGTCATGCAATGTACACCTAAAAAAAAATCATCCAAATACACAAGATGTACATCGTACATCCAGTCCATATCCTCCAGCTGCAGCTATCATTTGGACAGCCAGCATTTGAGCATCTCAACAGTGATTGGAAGCTTAACAGAGAAATACAACTAACAAAACATTATTGTTTACTTTGCTGTTTTACTTACAAGTAATAAAAGTAAAATTTTTCATAAATAAAATTAGATACTATTTAATTTCTTATTAACCCTAATCAACCCAAAACGAATCAATGTGCATACAAGGGACGATATCGCGTCAAATAATGGGGAAGACGTGGAAACCCTATGGCTATTAATAACTAACAATGATCAAAGTAGAAAAAAAATACTTTTTTTTAGTTTTGTAATATTTTTTTTAGTGATTGCATAGAAAAAAAAAACTTTTGCAAGACAATATCACCAAAGGAAACCCATATTTGTCCTGGAAAAAAAAAACAATGAATGTATTAATTTTTATCTTAAGAGTTGAAAAAGTTATAGTCGAACAAACGGGCCCACGGCAGAAGTGTTAAAATGTATCTGGTCCACAAGGGGTGCAAGATTTGAAGTGGTTAAATATTATGTATCATTGAAATAATGTAAACGCAGGGTGTCATCACAATGTGGGGTGCTATGTGCCATTCAAATCCCCAAACATTCTTCACTGTTCAGATAACAAGCAATACATAAACATTCACGCATGGTTCAAAATAGCACAATAGGAACGCTGCAATTGGCTTTTACTAACAAAAGGGGGAAAACAATTCTAGATTTGGACTGTAACCTTACAAACACATTTGCGAAAGATAACTTGCTCATTTATTAATGCTTGGCAATTTGTTTTATCTTTTATGCTGAATTCACATATTCTTTTTTTTTTTCCTTTGTAATATTATCTTCATTTGCTGGATAGGGGAATTCTTATCTCACTGCAGAAGTTTCAGTTATTTTGATGAATTATGCAAGAATTCCTAGTCACGATTTTTTGCAATATATTTAAAGGCACAGGACCCAACGTGTATTTTATACTATAATAGCATTAGGTGGCAGACTTGAGTTGTCTTGAAAAGAAAAGCAAGTACAAAACACTAGCAGCAAATAGAACTAGCGATTTACTGCCATGATACCAGGGCATTAGTTAAAGAAACAAGTACCTCCCAAAACAAAAATCTCTTAATGGGTATATGGCAAAACATAAACTCTCGTCTAACAATAATGGGCTAGATTGTAAGCTTTTACGAGCAGGGCCCTTCTAAAGCTGGCCATACACCTATAGATTATCTGCAGATTTTCTTTGGCCAGATGGAAAAGGTGCAACAGATTCCTCCATCTACGCTAAACTGTGTGTATGGAGGAATCTCCCACTGGGCCAAGCTTCAGCATCTTGCTAGTCGGCCCCACTGGCTCTCAAAATACCTGAACAATGCCTTCATCCAATCAGATTGTTCAGGTATTTTGAAAGTCAGCGGGGCCGACTAGCAAGATGCTGATGCTTGGCCCAGTGGGAGATTCCTCCATCCACACAGTTTAGCGTAGATGGAGGAATCTGTTGCACCTTTTCCATCTGGCCAAAGAAAATCTGAAGAAAATCTATAGGTGTATGGCCAGCTTTACCCTCCTGTATTGAAATTGTATTCTAACTGTACTGTCTCCCTTCATTTTGTAAAGCGCTGCACAAACTGTTGGCCAAAAGGGCCAACAGTTTGGAGCTGATAAAATAATTATAAATAACAATGAAACACTTTTACCAGTTTTCTTTACAGTAACACTAAAAGGCAAATGACCAGCTTTCCAGTACTTATCACCCTTACAACATATGCCCATCAGTTCACTACATACTGATTAACAGCAAAGAATCACAGAAAGTCCCTCTGCAACATAAACTCTGTATTTAATATCTAGATGTGTTGAAATCCTAACGTAGAAGACTGACCACAATATGCAGAGGCATCATCGAGTTAGAAGTAGATTTGCAAAATGATAATGGGGTTATATCACAAGGCTAATGTCAATGCATTGAATTCTTCTTCAATGTATTAGCCAACTTCTTTAGTTTAAAGCTTACTTTTCTTTATAGTCAACAAGCAGTCATCAGTGAAACCAAGTTTACTAGTTATTTATGATGTGTACAGATGATCCTCTAAGAGCATTTTACCATCTAATCATTTCATATGCATTTTACATATGCAACCTGTTAGGAGTTGAAGGCATGACAAAAGGCCTGACCTCCAGCCTCTAACCTCCTGTGGTCTTCATCAAGCGGCAGTACTAAAATAACACACACATAGATCTCCAGAGAGATGGGATTCCTGGATGGTGGCAACCAAGTGCCATTTTCAGGAATCATCTGTAGAAATATATATGAAGGATGTCTTGGAAAAAGAGAAGAACATTTGCTCAGGAATCATCTATAAAACGGTATATTAAGGATGTCATAGGAAAAGAGAATAACATTGTCCACATGACTACTACTTCTAATACCTTCCATATGAGAACTAAAAATTTGTTCCTAGATTTTTTTTTTTTACAAGAAACAGAAATATATAATCAGAACCTGGTTTTACTTAAAGCAAAGTTTTTAGTAAAGCTGGAAACCCCCCACCTTTCCAGAATACTTACCTTCCTTCCCATTCCAGCACTCTTCCCTATACAGTCCTGGCCAGTGATTCACAGCCTTTCCAAAGAAAAAATCCCCACTGGGTCCTCTTGTTATTGCACGTGTGCATCACGGCCCCGTACTCGTATACGGCTCATACTCTGTCAGAGAATGACCCAGTTGGGTCCTTGCAAAGGCGCTGTGGCACCAGGCAGGACCACACAATACAGATTGCAGGAGGAAGGTAAATATTTTACCAGGTGGAAGTAGGGGGGAGGGTTTAGGGGTTTACTTAGTGGACACTTTTACTAAAACTACAATTGTCCTAAAATCCAGGTAGGTCTTTTAGAAAAAAAACACCAATTAATAAAGTTATACATTCCAAAAAGATAAGTAAATGTCATTTAAGTGCAACTAGTGTAAGTACATTAACGTTGTCTTCTTCAATACCTTGTAAAGCAGCACTGGGAGAAGACAACACTTGGGGGTGTATTTATAAACAATTTGCAGATCCATTCACCCTGTGAATCTCTGTGAATGTTTGTTCTGTGCAAATAGAGGCAAAAACGAACATTCTTAGCAAATTTTTGTTTTTGGTTGAATATAATGTAGTACTGCATTATGGCCACCGGATAGAGCAGAGAAGTATAGGAAATCTAGTGGCCACAATGCAGTATTACATTACATTCAACCTGAAGAAGAAAACATACTGTAAACTTTTGCTTTTGCCTCTATTTGCACAGAATGAATGTACACAAAGACATCGCAGGGCAAATGGCTCTGCAATTTAGACTCCTTGGTGCTTATCAGGCTACTCTGTAGTGCAAGAACTGACAGTGATCTGGAAAAAGGAGCAGTGTGCAGAGGGAGGACATTGTGCTGTTGCTGCTTTTTTATTCATTTGTATATGTCTTGATAAAGATACCTAATAGTAGCAAAGACACCCCATGGAATATATCTGTTAATTCTTGAAATACCTTTTTCCCCATACACTTTCATATATAAATGTACATAGGGGCATTCATATTTATTCATTATATAAGCAGGCTTTTTTCCCTCAATCAGCCAAAGCAGTATTGAATGGGATTGATTTACTAAAGGCAACTAGACTTTTCACTTTGCAAGAGTATTCGCTGTTTGGAGTGGAATTTTCCACTTAGTTTACTGAATGAGGTAAAGCTCTGCTGACTTCTATCATCCAATCGTGTGCAAGCAAAAATACCGTTTTTCTTTTGAATTATTTTTCTTGCACATTTGGGTATTCTATGCACAGTGAAATTTTACCCCAGTCACAAAGCTAAGGGAAACTTCCCCTACATAGTGCAAAGTGAACAGCCTTTGTGCCTTTATTAAATCATCCCCAATGTCTCTCTATGTGTAGTTCTATGAATTAGGTCAGACCTCATTGAAAATCGACTCTTTAGGGACGCAGCCAGCAATACAAATCTGACAAAGGTTCCAAATAATGCTAATTTCATTCAGAAATGAAAAGTTGGGCTTTCATTCCTCTCTTCTTTAGGTTTGGACATTTTCAGTAGCATATGTGTTAATTATTATTATTACAGGGCTCAAAATTTCCACTCGCCCGCTCGCAATTGGCGAGTGAAAATTGCGTGGGGGCGAGTGGAAATCCAGGGGGGGGACTTCCGCCGATAAAAAAAAAGTGATAAAGTAAAAAATAAAATAAAGAAGCAATTAAAAAAAAAATGTACCCTGCCGCCCCTGCCACCCGGTTGCCATTCTCCGTTAATGAGGGGGTGGGGGCGCATTGCAGAACCTGGCCTTGGGGCAGCAGGGAGAGTAAATCCGGCCCTGATCACAATACAATT